CTGCGGGGGAGGGGGGACACCCACCTGTGACCATGGCCAGGGCAGCGATGCAGGAGAAGGCAGAGATATCGATGTTCATGTTTTGCAGGTTGGAGGAGAATTCCACAATGGAATCGATCCACTCGACGCACTGCAACCGGTGCAGGACCACCCCGTTGCAGAAGATGAGCTTGCCCTCCACCGGATTTGACCTGGAAGGAATGTGACAACCCCAAAATGAACAGATGAATGGATGGGTAAAAAAGGGGAAACTAGATAGGGAGAGAAAAAGAATGAAAAGAAAGAAGGAGGAAAAAAAAGAGAGAAAGGCAAAAGATTTAAAAGGGAGAGAAAAAAAAAAAAGAAAGGAGAAAAAGAGAGGAAAAAACAGAGAATGAAAAAATAAAATAGAGACGGGAGAGCGAAATAGAAAAAAAAAGAAAAAGAGAAAGAAAAAAAAAGAATAGAGAAGATGAGGGGAGAAAAGCTAAACAACTAATTACTTGAGGAGCAATAAATGAAGGATTTAAGAGGCACCTAATTACCGAGGAGTTAATAAAACGCGGATCAGTGGACCTTGAAGGGTTCTGACTCCGCAGCCGACCCGACGCGCCCCCCCCGGCCCCGGCCGCTCACCTGTACGCCAGCCGCCCCGCCCCCCGGCCGCTCCCCTGTCCGCCAGCCGCAGCACGAAGAGCTCCAGGAAGGCGGACTCGAAGAGCAGGTCCTGGTCCGTTTTGGGGAGATCGGTGAAGCCGGGGATTTTTTCTGCCCACCCTCGGATGATCTCCATGGAGCCGGTCAAGAGATCATAGAACTGCTGGATGTGCTGAGTGTCGTCGCCGCTCATCTGGTAGTCGGGGTTAGCCTGGAACTGGAAATTCATTTCCAAAAGCGCTTAATGAGGTTCTCCGAAGTATATAACCCGTGAAATTGCTAACCCCGTTTCTAGTCGGGGAGCCAGGTTTTCATAACAATTAAACCTCTCTCTGACCAGCACGGAAATGAGATATTCCGGGGCAATTAATTCAATTAGGAGCGGCGCTA